ATATGATATTAATTAATGGATTTTTCGTATGAACTCTCGTATGTATTTACTGAATACATTTCTGAATGAATTTCTTAAATGAATTCTCTGAACGAATTTTTATATGACGTTACTAAATGCACGTATGAATCATCGTACCTATTAACGACACAAGTTTTTATATGCAGTTCTAAAACGTTCCACAATGCTTCATTACTGTAATACCTAAAAGCCATTAAAACTTTAATATTTTGTCATTTGTATTTAATGACTGGTACAATCTTATTTGCACCTATCAGAAAATATTTAGCTGATATCTGCAATCTATTATCGTTATCATCGTAGCATGGAAAACTCCTCTTTAACGAGTGCAATCAGTAATATCTGCCAGTGGATTTAACAATACGTAGAAACGAAGACCTAACCTCGATATTGCAACCCTTATTCATGCACCACCATATGTCATAAAATGCTGAATCATTCCCATTAAAACTGCATTACGCCTTCCTCTATTTACATCCAGCGAACTCCATAGTAACAAATTCTGGCAGCACGTAGACCGCAATGCAAACCTAGCACACCCTCCTCCTCCTCCTCCTCCCCCTTTCGTTACCACCATGCTTCGACTCAACAACTCACGCGACGTTAATTCGAAAACACGCTGACATAAATGCAAAAATTCGAATAGCGTAATTCTTAATGTCAAGGCTTGGCCAATAGAAATTGCCGATGCATTCCGTGGGCCATTCACGGGCGATCGATTCGTAGCATGAAACCGTTCGATATATTTGACGGTGGGAGCGCGTTTACTCGAGGCCAGGCAACGTCTGAGCCTTACCTTCTGCAGCTCCTTCTCGATTTCGAGGGCGCGTATGAGTAGCGGGCCGCGGACCGCGTACTCCATCCGCCTCAGATTCTCGAACACATTGTCCTCGGTGAGGACCTTAGCTCTGGGTGTGCCGCTCGCCATACCGCGACCGAGTGTTCTGCCGGTGGCCGGCTGATGCTGGACTAACAGTAACAGCGTCTCCGTCGTGCACGCGGACGGCCTGCCGCCCTTCGTCCCCGGCCCCCCGGATGAGACACATTCCCACGTCCTGGGCCGACCGCTCGCGATAACAGCGTTACGCCAGCCTGCCTTCATCGTTCGCCTGCCTAGCTGCCCAGCAGCACCGTGGTTTTGTCTCTCTTCAACGACGCCGGGTTCCAATTAGTCGGACGAACCAGGTTCCGATGGCTCGTCGAGGGACCGTAGAAGGGCGAACGCGCTTGCGCAGAGACCAGCCTGCACTGTGGATTTTTGCTAATATGTAGGCTTACCCAGATTTTATACGATTCGTCAATTATTAATTCTTTTCGAATTGATTAAAATCATTGATTAATTAAGCTATGGCGATTAGGGTTGTCAGCTTGTTGCACTTAGTCGGTTAGAAATAAGAAATATTCCATTGCTAAAGTTTCAAGATTGCCTTTTCTGGCTGATCTGTTAAGAACATCTTCAATCAATGCATGTATGTATGTATGTATGTATGTACATATTGTGTATATAGGTAATTAAAAAGAGTGTTAGTATGAGCAAGTATCAGTGCCATTGTATACTGGTAGTCATTTAAGCATAACTAGCGTTACGTAATTGTTTTTTCCGAGTAACGAAGTGTGGCTGTTTGCTATTGTTTTAGGTTTTAAGTGAATGCGGTTAGACTGGATAGTCGAGCTTCTAAGCAGCGAATGATTATGAAACTTACGATTGGCTCTCGATTAACTTGAACACCTGTTAATCGAATTTTCGACTCGTACCGTAACGAGCGTCCGCGGGATCGTCGCACAGGCGCGTTAAGCGTAAAGTGATTGTAATATCCAAGCGAGAGACCTACGAATTTCGAGTTCAAAAATAAATCTACGATACATGTGTTATGATCACTCTTTGCTTGGCGATAAAATGATTAATTATTATACCCATTAATTGCAGGGAGTAATTTAATTGCTCTTGAGATCCGGAATTTTGCTGCTGTGACATCTAACGTCTTCGGTAAACTTGTAAAAAGGAATGAGCATGCACTATAGATACTCAGAACGATTCCTGACGTAGAACAGGCGTGCAGAATATAATTTTTTTTTAGATACAGAAGGAGACGATTATCTACTCGTTATGCAATATAATAAGCTAGAGTTTCTACTTATTTCTGAGACTTTTTGCTTTAATCCTAAATAGTGTTTCGTAAAAATATAGTATAAGAACATTTCTTTGTTTCCATCAAAGTAAAAAGCAAGATTGCAAACTAATAACTTGTTATATGACTGTAAATAATATAAAAAATATTAAAAATTAATTTTAGACAAATTTCTTTACACATTATTCTTTCACAATGCAGTCATTTTTACTGCTTTGGGCAATATAGGTATGTACTAAGTTTCAGTCTTTCTAGTGTTAAGTTCGCTGCCAAAAAGCGGTAGGTTACGTCATCGGAGGATCCGTGACCTCTAATTGCAAGAGCAAATAGAAAGCAGGGTAAATAGGTTGTCGCCGAACGAAAGCAACAACTGATATGACGACGACATCCGAAAATACTTTCTACTGACGTTCGATCGCTGTAGTCCAAATCTCGGGCCTATTTACATGAACAGTAGAAAGAATTCGAGATACTAGCGAACCTACCGATCAACTCCCATTGTTTAATTTTTTTAAATACTCTGTAGCCACTTTCGCGTTAATTGACAAGTTTACTTTCTCCTTATCTCCGATAACAGTTGCTTGAAATCCTACACTGGCATCATGAAATGCATTGTATTTTTTTCGTAGCATAAAAACAGATATAAAATATGAATTTTATGTACATATGTAAAAATGTTAGGTAACCGCGAGGGTAGAATCCTTTGACCTAATTAAAAAATAATAAAATCTGTTAATTATAATCTCAATTCGAATTTCCAGGATGCATTTTCATCGCAAACGACTTGAACTCTGCTACACGAGTCATTCTATTCTGTCAATATCTGAAATCTGAAACTCAGTTAATAGCTCAAAGTTCAAGATTTTTCCCTATCAATCATAAGTAGACGAGGATCACAGCAATTACATTGCATAATGAAGACTTAATTTTTATGTGCATGTCAAGTGGGTCATAATCAAGTAGCTATACTTAATTATCTCTGAACATAATTAAATTTAACGAGAATAGAATGAATAAATGAAAACCTAATCAGTCCTGGTGCATCAGAAACTTATTATATCTAACACAGACTACGTGAAACAGTATTTGTCATAATTTATTACTTCTTATCAATATGACTGTTTTTCGTAAGACTTAATTGACACCATTTTATCTTTTCTTGTTTACTGAACGCGATGGCAGGAATTGCCTGATAAAAATATCATATCTCCATCGATGCACGATGGTCAGTCTTAAACTTGAAACCTATTCCAATATTTTTATCGAATGCCCAGAGTCATTGAATAAATTCCAACAGTATTTGATTTCTGATAACCAGCGATAAATTACTTAGTTTCAAATTATCAGATTTACTATAATACTGTTTGTACTATGAATTTGACGAGAATCTCGTAACAGGCCATTGCAATTATTTATGGGCCGACCTCGACGTGAAATCATAATGTTGACCGTGGCTTAGTTAATCGATAACCTCGATCTCTTTCTTTATTCCTCGTTTCCATGAAAACGCATGGATCTAGGCCCTAGTACATCCAGTCGCTACTATACACATATGTTTAACACTAGATTGCCCAAGGAAGTAATTTTGACTGGTTTTGGGCAAATGTACAAATAATAATGCATAAATTATTTTTTTTCCC